CGGGAGAGGCTGGCGGAGGGCCCTGGCGGCTCTCAGGACATTAGGCACCGCAACCGAACTGAGCCTGGTCCTGTCTCCACACCCCAGCTCCCTGCCCGAGGGCGTGTCAGAGGACCCGGCCTGGGGGAATGCCCGGGTCACGGGCAGTAGGTGGCGCGAGTGTCATGGGGGAGGAGGGAACAGGCCTGGGGAGTAGCAGCTTCCCGGCCCCTGCAGGGCTCTGCACCCCCGACCTCCCCCCACCTCCCCCGCCACCTGTGCGCACCTTTCTCGATGCTCAGAGAGTCGATGGCCCGGTAGCCAGCGTTGACGAGGCCGTGCTTGGCGCCCGCTGCCATCACAGCCTGGTACACGGGCACGCAGGACGGCCCGGGGATGTGCAGCTCCCAGCCCAGCTCCCCCACGAAGGACAGCCGCATGGCCCGCACCTGGGGACAGTCACAGCGCTCACTTGGCTGGGGCACCCCACCACAGTCAAGGCCTCACTACCACTCACGGGTGTACGGTGCCATTTCACCATTGTCATCGGCTGTCCCTGAGCCCGGCCAGCCCACCACCGAAACGTGGGGTCTCCGAAGAGACTTCCCAGGAGCCCTTGGAAACCTGTAAGGGGAGAAGGGGGTTGGCGTTGGGAGAAAGTGGGCACAGTTCCCGGAACTCAGCTCTCCTTCTAAGTGACCGTGTGAGGGTCCTGCAGCCACCAAATGACCCCAAACTCTGTGGCTGAAATCACCAAAGGGACTCCCTTCCATTCTGGGGCTGGAAGTGCAACATGCGGGTGCCAGCCCGGCGCTCCCTCCAGGGCTCTGGTGGGACCCTTCTCCCCACTCCCCTGGCCTCTGGGCGCTCAGTGGCTGTGGCCGCGTTATCCCACCCTCTGCCTCCATCGCCCCGCGGCCTCTCCTGTGCTGCGCCCTGTCTGTGCCTCTTCTCAGGGTGCCTGTCGGTGGGCTGAGGCCCCGGTGTGGGGCTGAGCAGGAGCAGCTGTGACAGGGACAGCTGGTCTCTGCGTGTGTCCCTCACACCCGTGCACCACCAGCCTGGGGTCACTCGGCCAGCGGCATGTGACTGACCCCGCACGCTGGGTGGGGTTGCATGTCATCCAGGCACCCAGCAACCATGTCTGCTTCCAGGCCTGAGGGCGAGTCCCGAACCTACAGGTCCCCGTGGGGAAGGCCTGAGCGCTCAGCCCGGGGACCGACCAGCTCACAACAGGAACAGTGAGAGCACAGCAGGTCACAGGTCACGGAGAGCACAGGTCACAGGTCACGGGGAGCACAACAGGTCACAGAGGTCACGGGGAGCACAGCAGGTCACACAGGTCACGGGGAGCAAGGAGAGGCCCCTCCACTGCTCCGGCTGGAAGGCCCACCGGGGGCAGCTCCCCTCGGGACACGCCCGCGCAGGAGTGGAGGCCACGCTCCCGGCGCAGCAAGCTCCTCTGCACTGGGCGCTCTAACCACAGCCGCGGGGCGCTAGGCTCGGAAGGCCCTGGACGCGTCCGCCTCTCGAAAAACTCCCAACTGATGGCAAATGTGCTGTGGACGCTTCCGTGCCCCGGTGCAAGCTCTCGGCCTCCCCAGGCCTGCCTGCCGGCGGGGCTAATCCGGGACAGCTGCGCGCAGCCCGGGCCCAAAGCCAGGCTCATGCGGAACAAAACAGAAGAATCCTCGGTGCAGCTCGCCCACCAACAGCCCCAGACTGAGGCTCCGAGTCCGACACCCCGCGCAGAGCGAGGGTCGGCCCGCCGCTTCCTTGAATCCCGGGTGGGACGCGGCCCCTTCCCAGCTCTGGAAGCCAAGGTGGGGGCTACTGCAGCTGATCCCCCACACCCCGCGCAGGCTCTGCCACAGAGGGGCTGAGCAGATGCTTCCTGAGTGAGGAAACAGGCGGGAGCAGGCGGACCCCACGCCCCAGCCAGGCGAGGGCGAGTGGGGATGCCAGGGGCCTCTCCAAGGCCACGGCACCACTGGCTCCCACACGCCCTCCTGCTCTCCACGGAAGTAGGAAGATGGGGAAGTGCTCACGCCTTCGGAAGGGAAAGCCCAGTGTGAGGACGTCTGCAACACCGGCTCCGGGTCGGCCTCTCCCGACCTCAGTGTTCCCATCTGATAAATGGGCGGAGGCCAGTGCAGTGAGCACCACCTTCATGGGAAGCCAATGCCTGATACACAGCCACCTGCCAGCACACGTTGGCATGGAGGGACTGTAAGAGCAAGCCCCCCGAGAAACCCGCTCATGAACAGCCCTGCATTCACTCTTACGGGGACCACAGGCAGTGGGCGGAGTCACAGAATCGTGGAAGGTTCCCAGGGAGGACTTAAGCCAGGTTTTGCTTAAACCCTTTTCTCACCCGAATAAACTCATTCAGCAAGGTTGCAGAGTACACAACCCACACCCAGAAATCAGCTGTGTTTCCAACCCTGACAAAGGACAATCCAGAAAGGAGGTGAATAAACCCAACCATGGAGGCAAAAGACTTGTACACTAGAGACGACAGAACTGTGGTGAAAAGAGTGAAAGAAGATACAAATAAATGGCCACACAGCCCGCGTTCGTTACAGTACCAACACTGCCCTAAGCGGTCTACAGGCTGAACGCACTCCCTGTCAGGTCCCCGTGGCGTCTGCAGACATAAAAAGCCCACCCTAAAACTCAGTCACAGGGGCCTCAAACACCAGAACTATCTTGAGAAGAAGAATGCGGCGGGAGGGCTCCGCTTCCTGATGTCAAACTTTCTACAACCTGCTGTACTCAGCACCGCGCCGCTGGCCTGAGGCCGACACGCCCGCCCACGGAACAGCGAGGAGAGCCCAGAACCAGCCCCGCGCGCGGCCAAGTGGTCTCCCACGGGAGGCCAGAGCACACAGCGGAGCGGGGACGGCTCTGCGGTGCTGGGAAGCAGACATCGCTGCAGAATGCCGCTGGGCTCCCTCCCACACCGACGCAAACATGAGCTCACGGTCAAAGACCCACGTGCAAGACTGAAACGGTGCGACCCGTAGAAGAAAACACAGGGGAGCCGCTTTATGACACTGGGCCTGGGTGGTTTCTTAGCTGACACCGAAGGCGAAGACAAGAGCAACACGTTCCCACGGGACTACGTTCCATCACGTGTGCAAACTTCTGTGCGCCAAAGGGTACGATCAGCAGTGGACAGGCAGCCTGCGGCCTGGGAGACACTGACAAACCGTCTATTCGATACGGCTTAAGACCCGGAACACACACAGACTACAACTCGACAACAGCACAACCACCTGCTGAAGACATTTCTTCAAAGATGACATACCGACGATGGCCAGTCAGCATACGGCAAGTGATCAGTATCACTGAGCATCAGAGAAATGCAAATCAAAGTCGCAATGAGATGACCTCATCCCTCCTTAAAAACACACCCGGGAAATGACCAGTGTTGGCGAGGGTGTGGAGAAAGGGGAATCCTTGGGCACAGCTGGCGGGAATGTGAATGGTGCGACTGTTCAGGAAGACAGGATGGTGGTTCTTTGAAAAATTAAGAGAATGACCGTATGTCCAGCAATTCTGTTTCTGGGTATAAGCCCCAAAGCACTGAGCCAGATCTCACACTGCCGGTTGCCCATGTTCACAGCAGCATTATTCACAACAGCCAAGAGGCGGGAGTGAGCCTGTGTCCATCCACAGCAAGATGGATAGTGTGGTACATCCACGCAGGGCACAGTATCCAGCCGTGGAAAGGCAGGACATTCTGACACCTGCTGCCACATGGACAAGCCTTGAGGACGTGACGCTGAGTCAACTAGGCCAGTCACAAAAGGACGTGTTCTGTATGACTCACGCGTAGGAGGTACCTAACGTAGTCAAGTTCACAGCCACTGAGAGGAGGGTGGTTATTCGGAGCTGCGGGGGGGGGAGCTATGCACATCGTGTGGTGATGTGAGTGCGCTGCACACCGAGCCACGTGCTTTACGTGGTTAAGATGATGAACGTGAGACGAGGCACCCTCTCCACGGCCGGGCCCGACAGCCAGAGGGACTGTCATTTGTCCCCTCGTGACGCTCTGGGTGCCAGGAGGGAGGGAGAGGCCATGCACTCCGTCCCAGGACCACAGGGCTCTACAGACCCACTCACACCCTTCGGGGGGCGGGGGGGGCTATTCTCAGGGTTCAGTAACATGTGCGTTCAGGGGGCTTGGTGCGTCACTGACCTCCCACCAGCTCTCCTTGGAGATGGCTGAAGTTCAAGGAGGTGCTGAGTGTCCGCCTGAGCTTGGGCCCAAGACCCTGCAGGTGCCCAGGTCAGGGGAGGCTCCCGCGGATGTGCCATCAGAACCAGCCGGGCGCACCCGAGTCCGTCCCGCAGGAGGCTAAGCAGCTGTGCCCACAGACGCAGGCCGGCACGGCCACCTTCTCAGATCACATCAGCTCACGGCGGTTTCACACGTTCCCAGCGTGTTTGGTTGTGTAACAGCACGGCCAAACAGCAGGCGCAGCCACCAACCTGTCACCCCTTAAACAGTGAGGACCCGAGGCCCAGAGGCGGGGTGTCGGGACCAGAGCACGGACTGCTCTCTGCAGGGCCTGTGGCCGCCCCGAACCCACAGGAGAGAGAAGCAGCACGTTGGTTGTATGTTCAGATTATCTTCATTTTTCAAAACCCTCTGAAGGCTCCAAAGACATCCTGGATCCTAAAAACATCCTGCTATGGGGTGTGCACTCTCTCCCAGAGGCTGGTTCAGAAGCTAATGTGTGGTGGTGATGGTGGTGATGGTGGTGATGGTTGCGATGGTGGTGATGGTGGTGATGGTTGCGATGGTGGTGATGGTGGTGATGGTTGCGATGGTGGTGATGGTGGTGATGGTTGCGATGGTGGTGATGGTGGTGATGGTTGCGATGGTGGTGATGGTGGTGATGGTTGCGATGGTGGTGATGGTGGTGATGGTTGCGATGGTGGTGATGGTGGTGATGGTTGCGATGGTGGTGATGGTGGTGATGGTTGCGATGGTGGTGATGGTGGTGATGGTTGCGATGGTGGTGATGGTGGTGATGGTTGCGATGGTGGTGATGGTGGTGCTGATGGTGGTGGTGACGGTGGTGACAGTGGTGGTGATGGCGGCGGTGGTGGCGGTGATGGTGGTGGTGGCAGCGGTGATGGTGGTGGTGGCAGCGGTGGTGATTATTGTGATGGTGGTGAAAATGGTGATAGAAACTAGTTTTCTAAGAATCCGGATAAAAATAAATAAAAGGTGTGGTGCTCAAACCGCATTCTATAAACCTGGCCCCTCTGAGGATGTAAAAAGCACCATGGACACTGTCCAAGCCTGGGGCTCCTCTCCGACCTGTGGAAGGCCAGGCCAGCCCGGGACGCCCCTGAGGAAAGCCCACCTTCCCGACTGGCTGGCCTGGAATAGGGTTTCAAGCTGCTAGTGACAGCGAGGGGCATCCCCAGAGGCGCTGTCTGCACCCACAGAGGACGCGGGGCAGCAGGGCCGGACACACAGCAGCCCCTGCAGAGAAAGGACGGGGCTCCTGGAGGAGGTTCTGGACTCTCTGATGCACACGCCCCAGGTCCCTCAGCACCACCAGCCTCACTCCAACCACACTGTCCTCCGGCCCCAGCCAGACATGCTGCCCCGCGACACCACAGGAGGGGCGGCGGGTGCTCGGCCACGGCTCCCGGGTCCCGGGCCACGGCGACGCTGCACAGGTTGTGCGAAGGACCTTTCAGCCGGCAACGAAAACCCCATCGGCCAAGGCCGTCTGCGTGGAGGTGGCCTCATCGGGAGCCCCTTTCTAGAATGTTGCGGGTGAGAGAACCTTCCCCCGAGTCATCAAATCCGTGCGGACTTCACACCATCAGGGAGAGAAACTCAATTTCCTTCTAACCTGAAATTCATGTTCAAGAGAAAGTCGCTCTATCGCGTCTCGTGCTGAGCCTCCAGCCCGCGCTGCTGCTCTGCAGAGGGCCCCGTGCCCACCGAGGCACCGGACACCACGTCCGGCCCGGTGACCGCACCGGGAGCGTGTCCCCCGGGAACCTCTATGGCCTTGAGGCCAATGTGAGGGAAGTCAGGCCATCTGGTCAGCTGGCTGCCGGGGACAGTGTCCCGCCCTCTGTCCTTCCTCTTGGAATGCGGCTCACGGACGCCTAGCCGGAGCCAAGCATCTCGGAGAATTATTGCAAAACCGTGACACGGCTCAGCTGGGGACACCGCTCAGCTACGGACCCCTGCCCAGCAGCTGTGAGCCCGGGTCCCGTGGGCGCAGCGGGGCTGCCCATGCATCCTGAGCCGGGCTGGGGCGAGGCTCAGGGCCGCCATTCCGCGCCCTGCGACCGGGAGGCCTTGCCGACTAGAGGCCCACGTCCCTCTCCCCCATCTGCTTGGCCGGAGCCCAACGATCTCCCATAAAAACTTGGCCCAGCCCCGCGCTGCGGCCCCGCTGTCTCTTCACACTGAGGGATGGGGCGCCAACACGCACCAAAGCCCAGACAGCCTATTTGGGAGAATGTGAGACTCCCGGCCCGGGAGGGGGGACGGCTGACAGACTGTGGGCCGGCCCAGAAAGGAGCTTAGACATTGTCTAGCCTGGGCGCTGCAGATGGGGACACTGAGGCCTGAGAGGCAGCCGGAAGAAGGCTGGGGTGGGACTGGAAGCCAGGCCTGCCCAGCCCCCAGCTCTGTTGAACAGTGGGTGACGTTGCCCCTGAGCCCTCGGGTTCTGTGCTGACCTAGCTTCCACCCAAGCCCGTCCAGCCTCCAGCCACCAGGTCTCCCCTCCATCCGTGTTTCTCTTGCCAAGACTTGACTCTCCCCCCTCGAACTTGTCCCTGGGACCCTCCTCACTCTGATGTCAGCTCCTTGGGGAGGGGCTCCTGCCCCCCCCCAGGTCACCCTCCAGGGCAGGCTGGGCTGTGGCTGCAGGACCCTGCCCGACCCCAACCTCAACCCGGGTGTGACTCCTGGAGGGGGGCCGCAGCTGCCATCCAGGGCCTGGCTCAGAGCTCCGCACCTGGCCGGCGCTCAGCTGACGCTCCCAGCTGACGTGTGGGCAGCGACTTCAGAGGCAGGCTGGGGCGTGGTGGGGGAGCTGTGTTGGCAGGAGGAGACCCAGCGCTTTTCTCACGGAGGAGCCAGCCTACGGTCTCTGCAGGCCCGGAGGCAGCAGGTCTCCGGGAGGAGACGCCCGCAGGACTGTCTCAGGTCCCGAGCTGGGAATCTCCCTCCCGGCTCCACAGTGAGGCTGGGGAAGGGGCACGGCCAAGGGACGCTGGTCACCGGGCTTCGAGGAGGAGACACGGCCCTGCGTCAACGCCCAAGCACCGGGGCTCATGGAGCTGAGTGAGGACGCGGCGCTCAGAGCGGCTCTCGGAACATTCCAAAGAACAAGAACCCGACAGCGGGTCGTGAGGGAACCAAGCCGTGTACACAGATGTGCACGCAGGGTGGTCCGACTCCGTGTTCGCATTCGGCCAGAGTCGGGGAGGAAGGAAGCACCTGGGGCCTGTTTGTCTCTGTCTGTCTGTCTGTCTGTCTCTCTCTCTCTCTCTCTCTCTCTCTCTCGGTCTATCTCCCCCGCCCCTCACTGAGTTAGGGCTTCCTTTACTCATCCTCATTTGGCATATGCTCCTGGGATTTTTAGTGAAACGCTGATGCCCAGACGGGCGGCAAGCTTTGCGCCAGCTTCTCCTGGAATCTGCTTAACGACCCCCGTCCCGTGCCAGGTCCACCCCTGTCCCATGCCAGGTCAACCCCCGTCCCGTGCCAGATCCACCCCCATCCCGTGCCAGGTCAACCCCCGTCCAGTGCCAGGTGGACAAAGGGAAGGCTCAGGGAGGCCGGGGGTTGGAAGCAGAGGAGGGCACGCGCGTCCACCCAGCAGTAAATCCTTTTTGACAAAACCAGTAGCCAACCCTGGGGGACAGGGCGGGGAGGAACCCGCACACCCTAACCCCACTCCCCGACCCGTGTCCGCCCGCTTATCACCCTGGGTAGAGGTTCACCCCGAAGCCCGGCCTCTTTTCCGCCAGCCTGCTCAGAGCCCAGCCACCTCGGGGGCCAGACCTGGAAGGCGGCCCCAGGGGCGGGGAGGCAGCCGGACCCGCCATCCAAGACCACGTTCCAGGTGCCTTATGGGAGCGCCTGGCTGAGAGGGGAGTGCTCCCACCTGGTCCTCTCCCCAGCGAAGCCCCACACTGAACCACGCAGAGGCTCTCAGCTCAGACGCCGCATGGGCCCAGGGGCAGGTGGGCGGGGTGCAGCCACCACCCCGGCTGAGCTGTGCTGCTCCTGCGAAGTGCCCACCCTCTCTGGTCCCGGCAGGCAATTTGGCACTGAGGAGTCAGGAAGCAAGCTAGACAGATCCCCCTCCCCGCCCCCCCAGCTTCCTGCTCCCCTAGCTCGGCCTCTGCAGTGAAGGCGGGAGCGGAGCCCTCGCCTCCTGGGCTCCCTCCGCAGAGCAGTCGTTATCTCCCTCCCCCTGGCAGCCTCCTCGCCGATGTCATCGCAATGCTGTTTATTTGCTAACAGGACCCAGACGCGTCCGACCTCCAGACCTTCTGCGGGCCAGCATGGCTCCCGACCAACGCTCCCTCACACTCCCCGCCCAAACCCCCGATGAACACGGGAGATGAGAAAAGGACCATCTGTCTGTCTACCCAACCCGTCCTCACGGTCACGTCTGCTTCACGGACACGTATCCGTGCACTCTTCCTGTTTTATGGGTTGGGCGGCCTTGGGCAGCCCACCCAACCTCTCTGAGCTCTATTGGAAGAAACGTCCGTCCTCCAGGGTGATGGGGACCTGGCCGTGGCTGCTGCCCGTGTGGCTGCCACCCCTGCCAGAGATAACCCTAAAATAGTGGCTGCCCAGGTGGCTGCCACCGCTGCTATGGGTAACCCTGCAGCCATGGGAAACACTCGCTCATGTCTGGACACATTTTTGGTCACAACAGGAGGAATCCTGGCATCGAGCGGCTGGAGGGCAGGGATGAGGTTAACACCTGCCACTCCCAGGACGGCCCAGCACAGTACGTCCGCTCCTGGTGTCAGTGCCATGAGGGTCAGTGTGGGGAATCCTTGTGTCAGTGCGCCTAGAGTGGCGCCTAGTCCAAGGCCTGGTCCAGTGGGGCTGGTCCAGCACCTGGTACAGTGGGCCTGGTACAATGAGCTTGGTACAGCACCTAGTACAGTGGGCCTGGTACAGCAAGTGGTACAGTGGGCCTGGTACAATGAGCCTGGTACAGCACCCAGTACAGTGGGCCTGGTACAATGAGCCTGGTACAGTGGGCCTGGTACAGCACCTAGTACAGCACCTGGTACAGTGGGCCTGGTACACAGAGCAAACAGTGGCTGGTGTTACTTACACTGTCTGCTGCTCCCCTTGGCCTCAGGAATGCAGAGGGAAGGTCACGGTCCCTAATTCCCAACAAGGACACTGAGGCCCAGGAAGGGCCATGCTGACCCGGGCCGGACCAGGAGCCTGGCCCCAGAGGCTCTGAGGAAGCCGGTTCTGACCGGGCCCTGACTGTCCACAGTCTCAGAAGCTTTGGGTCCTGCGTCCGGACTGTCTGAGCTGTGGGGGAGGGGGGTGCCCCTCAGGACTGCTAGAGCTCCCCTAGCAGCCCTCCTCCTCCCACAGCCGCCACACTGGTGGGCGAGGAGGAGACACAGCAGGACATGGAGACCTGCCCAGCTGCCCCAGCCCCGCCGTCCCAAGGAGGCAGAGGAAATAACGCGTCACCCGATGCGGGCGGAGACCCCGGGCGGCTGTGCAGGTGGCGAGGCTGAGGTTGCCTTCCTGGCAGAAGCCTGGGACTGAGCCCCTGTGCCAGGCACCAGGAGCAGCTGGGGTGGTGCCCGACTTAGACCCAGCACCCCTGGAGGTCCTGGCCGCTGGTGGGCAGGACCGGGTCTCTGTTCACAGTGGGGACCAAGGCTCTGGGAGGTGAACAGTCTTGCCCAAGGCACTGGGGTTCCCGAGTCCCAGCCCTGGGTATTCCTTCCAGCAGGTGGCTGCTGCCCGCAACCCGGGGACAGCGGGTACCTACCAGGTGCCCGGCGGCTCGAACCAGCTTGTGGGTGGAGAAGGGGAAGGCCTCGTTGCTCAGGTCTGCATCCAGCACCTCCTGGAGGATGGCCCGGCTGCAAGCAAGAACAGTCGGTCAGTCAACAAATACTTGCTGGCACCCCTGGGTGTGCGGGCCAGTCCCTGTGCTCGTGGGGCAGACTGACAGCAGGCCTGGCGCTAACGAAGACACAGCAGGACGAACACACACCACACAGGCACAGAAAGCCACCCTCACGGCGACAATGAAGGAGCAGGCGATCGCGGTGGAGGCGAGACCCATAGATGCGCTCTCAAGGGCTCCTTCCTCGGGTGGGTGAACAGAGGCTGGGACAGTGATCTAACCATCTAACACCCCCCCACCCCCGTCCGACCACATCTCCTGCTGCCCTGTGCGCCCCCCCACACACCCCGCTACAGACCTGGGTCCCCACAGGCAACCCGAATTCAAACACTTGACAGTTCCAGTACACGAGCCACTCAGATCCTCTCTGACTGCTCAGCAAGCACCCACTGTACGCCTGCTGTGTGCCCGAGCAGTGCCCATGAAGGCAGCTACGACCCGCCAGGGAGGGAGGCCGGCCAGTCTAGCGCCAGCCGGGGAGATGTTGGCACAGGGCTGGCAACCCACAGGCGCCGGTGGGTGGCTTTAACACGATGCGCTTCCCCTCTGGCCCCCCACCCCCGGGTTCCTCCTCCGAAGCCCAGCCAGAGGGGCCTTTGGACAGTGCCCAGATGCCCGCGTGCCCCTTCTGGGCTGGGCTCCGCGTGGGGAGTTCTGTGAATATGTACAGAGTGAATGAATGGGGAATGAGCGGCCCTGTGGTCATCACAGGCGCGCAGGGAGCTGTTCAGAAGGAGGCAGGTGGCCTCTCGCCCAGGCAGCAGGCAGGACCTGGGCCTGGCTCTGCCCGCTGCCAGAGCCGCATGTAATTCTGAGACATGACCCCTGAACCCTGCGATACTGAGTCACACGAAAAGTTTCTCTGCGTTTTAGAACTTTAGAGACGGTTTATCTCGCGTGGAATCTCTAGCTTCCCCCAACTGGTTAGCTAACCAGACTGTCCCCTTCTGGACAGCAAGGGCTTCTGGCCACGGGTCCCAGTTGGAGGGACTAGGGCCGGGGCCCAGGTGCACCCAGGTGCCCCCTCTCCTCACCTGGCTGGGCCCTGGATGCTGATCATGCCCAGGTCCTCTGAGCTGTCGATGAGCTGGCACCGGAACCGCTGGTCCTGCAGCACGGAGGTGATGTGGGACCAGTTGTGCTGGGCCACGGCCCCGCCCACAGCCAGGTAGAAGGCGTCCCCTGGAAGGGAAGCAGAGCCTTAGAGGGGGTTGTGGGGCTGGGCGGCCTGAGGCTGGGGTTGAGAGAGCGACCAGCAGAGCAGTGACCTGGCCAGGGCCTGGACCCTCACACACACAGGACACCGCCTGGGACCGTCACTGGGGGAGACCGGGGTGTGGGACCCTGAGGACGCACACGCCAGGGAGCACTTTCCTGGGAGAGTCAGGGGCTCTCTTCACTTCTCAAAGGCTCCCAATCTGGGAGAGTACGAGCCCGACACCATGTCACCATGGGAGACCCGGCCCCACGTCAGCCAGGGCGGGCAGCCTGGGACCCGCTCCTCTCCTCTGGGAGCTGAGAGCCCCTTGCCAGCTTCCATGTCCCTCCGTGTGCCTGTGTCCCTGTGTCCCTGGTCTCAGGCACCCCACCCGGCCCAGATCCAGACTCGCTGAGGCCGGCACCGGTGGACCTGGCCGGCGGTCTCTCATCCAAACACAGAACGGCTGGGCCCGAGACCAGAGGCCAGCCCAGGTCGGGCCCAGCTGCAGGTGGAGCGGGGCTCCGGGGCGCAGCAGCCCTGGACTGGATCCCGCACCTTCCGGTGCTGCCAGCTGTTTCCTGCGGGCTGTGCCCAGGCCTTTCGCGATGCGAGGAGGTCAAAACCCCCGCTCAAGGCTGCGTGTGCACAGCCGGGATCCGACACGGATCGCCCGTCCTCTTGCCTTCCTGGTGACCCGACAGAGCAGGTGCCGTGCACACGCGTGTGCCACACACGCGCACTTAACGTACTCGCACTCAGAGCAGGAACCGAACAGCTTTTGCTGCGGGCGGTGCCCCCGGCCCTGCAGCGCCTCCCGGGCCGGCGCCCCCTCGCCTTCCTCCAACCCTGG